CATGCCTCCAACATGTGATACATAATCTTTTAAATTCTAAGATTGTAGATTATAAGCCTAACACTCAACCATACAAATCAACTTGTAAGGTAAGTGTTGCCCCAACTTATATACTCTTTAATTGCTTTATTTTCAACCGATGTGGGACTTGAAGTTTTTTTAAAATATTAAACTTATAAATTTAAATATATATTTTTTTTATTTTTCCTGCAGATTAAAATTTGCAGGAAAATCCGCAGGAAAAGTTACCTGCAAAATTTTTCTACCATTTAGTAAACATTACTTGCGAATTTATTTTTGCAAGATTGTTGTCCGACATAAAAAAGTTTGCATTATTTTCAAAAATATCACTGCATCGTTTGTACGTTGGATTTGTTGTGATCCAACGTGAAAATATAGACGTAAAAGACCTCTTTTGCACTAGTGATTTTTTCTGTAAATTTCAATCTACAAATCATCCAAACATTCACTATTTTTTCTCTGGATATCCTTTTTATTATTAAAGAAAATAGGGGTCGGACCACACGGAATTTTTTTTTCAATATATAATAATTTTGATTACTAAAATAATTTGCACTAATCCTTTGCAATACGTAAGCTTTACTAAGATATAGATCCGTTTGTTTAAACTAAAAAAAAATATTTTTAAACACTTTTAAAAAATAATTATTTAAAAGGAAATAGGAATTAATTCTTAAAAAAAGCATAGAGGTATTTTTTTTAAAATAAAAAAATGGTTTTAAAAAACATCTTAAAAGGGTAAAAAAATGTTTATTTTATTAAAAAAACATTTTTTAAAATAAACATTTTTTTAGAATAAAAAAAAAGTCAAACAAACCAACCCATAAATTTAAATCTGGATGAAAAAGAAATCTTAAGTTTTAGCATATTAAAATTAGGATTTTAATTAGAGACATTTAAAACAAATGAAAATAAAATGAGTATTATTAAAAAATAATTTTCATGTCACAATATTCTTTAATGAATTAATAAAATTGTCACGATGTTAGTAAGTGAAATAATTAATTATAATTATTATAAAAAAAATTATTATGTAATGATTTAGTTCTTATAATAATGTAATATTTATCACGAAAAAGTATTTTTTTTATCTATATTATAAATACAATATATATTGATATGTTGTAAAAAATAATGTTAGTATAAATTATAATGACACATAATATATATTATTAAATATCAATTAAAATTAATATGAAAATTATTTGTAGTTATATGTTAAATAAATTTATATTTAATTATATTATATTTATAGTAATTTTTTTTTTTGTATATTATGTACTATATATAATATTTCTTTTAGTATAAGAATTTTAAACTATAAAGACGTTTTTAATGTTTTTTTAACAATAAAGAATTAAATAGCATTATGAAAAACTATAAGAATTTATAAATTAATTTAACCTTTAAAGAATGAATTTCATATATATGATTTTATTCCTATTGTTGATTTAGTCTAAACAGTGACTATGAATTGAGTTACTGTTGATTAGGGAATCAATAATACTTTTTCAAAGATTTATGTTAAGAATGAATTGGAAATCACCGTGGATGCATTGAAAATATTTTTTTTATTAATTTTAATATTCCTTAATTAAGAGGGACATTAATTAACATTTACCATATATTAATTAATACATTTAAAGGAATAATATGAACAACTTAACCTATCTATAACGAAAAAGAGAAAAGAATACTAGGAGACTTAAAGCGTCTTGAACCTAGAATTATTACAAATCTAAAAACATTAGTTTAACTTGAAGATATATATAGTGAAAGTAAAAGTAGAAAAAAAAATAATAAAATAAAATAAATAAATAAATAAATCAAACGTCCGTTGTGTTCTAATTGATGATACAACGACTTTTCATTATGCCGAAGGATAATTAAATCGCACATCAACCGAGGAGACGTATGTATAACAAAGAGTATGTTTGATTGTCTATTCCCAAAACATTTTTTTGTAAAGCCCCAAAATATAAATTGAGTATTATCGTTTGGCTTTAATTTGCATATTCTTCCATCATTGAAAAATATTAAAAATTACTTTAAAGGAATTTATTAAAAATTAAAAATAAATAAATAAACAAGTTTTTGCATCTAAAATCGTTAAAATGTATTAACAATACTTTTTTAATTATTAATTCATGCCTTTTTATTTGTCAAAAATATTAATTTTCTGTGAATAATTGTTTTAGCAACGTTGCAGATTCTTATATATATTAGTGCCTGGTGGAAAGGAAACTTCCAAAGCATGTCCAATTAGTAATTGCTTTACCATGGCTGCAACTAAAACTGCAACCGAGGAACATATTTCTCTGAAAGTTTTGGTTGATGAAAAGAAAAATAGGGTTTTGTATGTCCATGCAGGGAAGGACTTTGTGGATATTCTTCTAAGCTTCTTAACTTTACCGTTGGGCACCATTGCTAGGCTTGTGGGTAAGGACTCGAACATGAACAAGGTTAGCGTTGGAAGCTTAAGTTCATTGTATGAAAGTGTGTGCAATATGGAGAATAAGCATTTTTGGACTGACACGTGCAAGGAAATGCTGCTTCAACCAAGGAGCTCCATGGAAAGCTATTGCCACAATATTAAGCTCAACATCGATGGCACAGAAAAAACACAGTACTTCATATGTCAGAACTTGAAATGTATTAGTAACCCTAATGTTGGTTTGTTGAGCACATTCAAGAATCAAAAATGCAAATGTGGGAGGCTCATGAATCGGGTGATACATTTTCATAGTTCACTTGCAATTAAAAATGATGGCTATGGATTCGTTCCAGAAACGGCAGCTTTCATCATTACAGATGACCTAAAAGTCAAACCTGATGATTTTCAATTTTCATGTCTACTCATGAATCATCGATATGAAGACTTAGATGCAATCAAACTAGTAACTGTGAATGTCACTCAGAAAGACGTACGTACAATTCTACTTCAATTTATTTTTTTATTTTTATTTATATATTAATCAGGAAAAATAATAGAGATAGTAGTTACATATGTGAGATAATTAAATATTGTTGAATACTATATATATAATTGTGTAATGTTTGTTTTGCAGGTACTTGATTTACTCAAATGCTCGTTACTCTCGACCACACCTTTAACGGATGTGTTATTACTTAAGAAACAGATAATTGATAAATTGCAATTGGGTTTTGATTTTGGTATTCGTGAGCACGACGCTAAAAGTGGAATTCAGAATATGAAATTAAAGGTAATGTTAAGGAAGTCCAACAAATTAGTGTTGTTTGCTTTAGCGGAAGAGGATTTTGTGGACTTCATTTTTAGTTTTTTGACCTTCCCACTAGGAGGGGTGGAACACATGTTGAATGGGAAGTCTTGCTTAGGAAGCATAGATAATTTATACAAGAGTGTGCTTGATTTGGATTGTTATCGATATTTGAGGTCCCCAGATCTAAAGGAAAAGCTCGTTAAGACTCCCATTGCACATCAATTTAAACTGCACAACAACATATTGCCGATTGATGAAATGCCTTCCTCTAATTACTCTCACTTCTATAAATATGATTCATCAACTAAAACGATAGTTGATAATAGTTTTTTGACTGCCCTACAAGAATATAGATCTAAATTTATTGGGTCTTTTTATAAGGAGGTTTATTGTCCTTTGAGTTATTTGGAGCCACCGTCATCAAATGGTAGCAAGCATGGCGGAAGAGCATTCGTGAAAAAGCCATCACTGTACATGGTGACAGACGATTTTGTCGTCACACCAAGTTCATCCTTTTCTGCCGTTTCTTTTGTCAGCAACTCCGGTGTTCCTCTTTCTGATTTGGAGGAAAAAGTTATCAACATTGGCCAAAAGGAGGTAAAGCATAAAATTCACGTATGAAAATTATTAAGTGCATATTTGTTTTAACTTTTCATAATATATTTTTATGTGAATTTTTTCCGAAACCTGAAATTTAAAACTACTTATTTTTTATTTGATGTAAAAAAATTACATTATTAACGTCGAATCAAACACCCTTTTAGTAATTTAGAAAATTTTTGAAACTACTAATTGCTACATTTTTTTGGGTATTGCAGGGTCTTAGTATTCTAAAAGCTTGTTTGATTTCCTCGTCAACTCTGACAAATGGTCTCAGTCAATTCCTTAAAATCCAGGATGAGGAGAAGATCCCTTCCATCAAGAAGCCTTCGTTACAAAAATAAGTCGATGCGACAATTGAATTATGGGAAAAAGAAAACATCGAATTTTTGCTGATTTAATCTTTTTTTTTTTTTTGGTATTGAACTTTTTGCTGGCTTTGCTGTAATTTTTGGAACTTTTGCTGGACCTGAGACGTATGAAATGATAATGATTCATTGTTTTTGAAATTAATGAGAAAATAAATTGAAATTATTGTTGAAAATAATTTAATGTTAAATATGATGTTGATAACTTGATATAGTGTATGCATCATGTAATATATTTTGTTTTAATTTAATATAAGATATATTTTTAATTCAATTAATTAATTTATAATTTTTTATTATTTAACTCCTTACTTAATTTTTAAAAGTTTTTGGGCATTTTATATATTAGTTTTATAAATACATCCATAACAAGCCTTTTTAGTTTGTGTAATCGACATGCTAAAGTGTTATTATATTTGTTTAGCCTTATAAGATAAGTAATTTATTTGCAATCAGTAATTACAAATTGTAAATATGTAAAACAAAAATTAGAGTACTTTGAGGAACTTCCTTAATTTCAAATACTGAATTACTTTAATGTCATATTTTAAACAGTTTAGATTATGTCGATCATTTATTTATTTTTTTTGACAGTTTTATTTATCTTGGACAATTTGATTTAAGTTGAATAATGTGGTTTATGTTAGATAATTTGGTTTTTTTAACACTTGAAGTCTTTGACTAATATTATTTATGAACGTTGGTTTATGCTCATTACAATAAATTCGAAGAGATTATTATAACACAAATATTTTACTTATATTATTTTAAAAAATAAGAATTAGTTAAAAAAAATAAATTGGACGAACAAGTTCAATAAACGAGTTATACCAATGTACAAAATTCTAGTAATATATAATGCAAAATATAAACGCTAAAAAAATATATAAAAAAAAATATTTTGCATATAAAATATAATTAAGTAATCGAACACATTATCCCAACTCCAAAGAAGGTGACGTCGGGGTCGGCGAGTAAGAAATGAAGGTAGCGTGTAGGATTTGGAAAACAGGGCAGCGGTGACCGATGCAGAGTTCGAGGTTGTATGAGAGTGGAGTTAAAAAAATATATTTGAGTTTGGTGTATAATATCGACTTTTTTTTTTTAATATATCAAAAAAAAATTTATTTATTTAAGTAATCTAAGTTAGTTATTATTTACCCAAATAACCCACTTTAAAATTTAAGTGAGAAATTGGTTATTGGGTAACCGATTTCTCAAAAGGATTTTGATTATATATTTTTTTTAAATCTGAAATTCAAAAAAATAAAAAAATTAATTTTTTTTTTCAAAATCCGAATAAAAAAGGCCAAAAAATGGAAGAAGAAAAAATCAAGTGAAAAATCAGTTATCCAGTAACTGATTTCTCAGTTGAATTTTAAAGTGGGTTATTTGGCTAAATAATAACTAGCTTAGGTTATTTAAATAAATAAATCAAAATTTTGATATATTTAAATCTTATAATATAGTATCTAAGAGCATCTACAATGACTCCCAATCACTTTAAATAAGTTTTACTATGTCACGTCACTCATAAATAACTTATATTATATTTTTATAATTTTTGCTCTAATAAAAATTGCTTATAAGCACTCCAACTTTTTTACAACTCATACTACACTTTTTGATACCTCACACTACACTTTATAATAAATTTTTATAAAATTAATTATTATGGATAATATATAAATATAAATAACAAACAAAAGAAATTTCATAATAAAAAAAATTACAAAAATAAAAGAAATTATATAATAAAAAAATTATCAAAAACTACAACAAAATTAAATATAAAAATTTAATATGCACTATTTTTCGTTATTATAACGACTAGTTAAATAAAAATAAAGTTACGACAAATTAAATATAATTACAATAAAACTAGTCTAATTTGCGTATATTAAAATTATAATAATATTTATTCTCCTAATTTGTGCCTAATAAAATTATAAGCTAATTCATGATTTTTGAGTTGCTTCTCAGTCATTCTAGATGTGTCATTCATGAGAATGTCATACATTGTATTAAAGTTATCTACCTCCTTCGCTTCAACTAATTTCTTTACTGCAACATTTCTTTATAACATTGTTTTTGTCATATTATCCAACTCCTTTTTGTCGGAAGATATTTCGTCAACCTTTTCTTTACTTTTTCTCTTCGCTGCATTTTGACCTATTGGACGAGACATTGGTGTTGTTAGGTCATATTCTTCACAATCATTGGCTGCATCTGTGTTAGAAGACGTTGAGTATTGTCTAGATTTAGAGATCTTTGATCTTTTAGAAGAGTTCTCCATTGATTCAGATTTCTATTTTGGCTCATCTCTTAATAATAGTCATGCATGCTCAAAATATATTTATTTTAAAAGTTAAGCTTTTAAAATATTTTAATAATTAAAAAAATAAAATTTTTTAAAAATAAACCAGAATAGTTTAGTCACCAAAAAATAAGTTAATAGTATATTTTAAGATAAATTTAAATAAAAATAATTAAGGTTCAAAAAAACTCTATTTTTGTAAAGAAAAACTTTTAAAAAGCTGGAAAAAAAAAAAGTTGAGTCACAGAAGAAAAATAAAATGAAAAAGAAAAAAATTACAAAATTTTTAAAACAGTAAAAAAAAATTGTTAAAATACATCTGAAAAAGAAAAAAATAAAAATATAAAAGAAAAAATAATTAAAGGGAAAATATTTTAAAAAAAATGAATTATGAAATAAAAAATTTAAAAAAAATTAGTAAAATAAATATGGAGAAAAGTTAAAAAAAAAATTGTTGTGGCCCATAGTGACAAAAGGGTCCTAGTGACTTTAGTTAGTAAAAAAAAAGTACAAAAATTTTAAAAATAGTAAACAAAAATTGTTAAATACATCTGGAAAAGAAAAAAAAAGAAAAAATATAAAAGAAAATATAACTGAAGGAAAAAAATTGTAAAAACACGTAAAAGAAAAAAAATGAATTATAAAATAAATGTTTTTTAAAAAAATTGGTAAAATAAATATAGAGAGAGAAAAAACGAGGTCACTATGGTCCATAGTGACTTCTTTAGTTGTATGGCCTTAATGATAAAAAAAATGAAAAGAAAAAAAAACAGTGTCTATGGGCTATAAGATCTGACTGATAAAAAAACGAGAAAAAAAAACTGAGGTCACTATGGGATAGAACGACAAAAAATCGCTATGGGCCATAACGACTCTACATAGTCTATACCTGCCTTCCTGCATGCTCGCCACGTGGCAAAAAAATTTATACGCTATTCAAAAATAATTAATTAATTTTTAAAATGTTATATACTAAAATTTTAAATAAATTTTTTATAAAAAATAATTATTTGGTGTCTCTATAGGCTGTAGCAACTTCATGAAATTAATTTTTTTTAAAATTCTCAGTGGAACGTGAAGTCGTTGTGTGTCGTTAGTGGTTGTAGCGACTTTAGTTGAAGCGTTATTGGCTGTGACGAATTTTATAATATGACTTTCATGGCTTCTAAAACAAAATATACACGTGGCACTAGTGTCGCTATGGCCCATAGCGGCACTATAGTAAACTACTCCAAAGACGTAAATAGTTTCAAAACAGCCCCATTTACATAATTAATTTTAAAAAATACTCTACAATGATCGATCAACCTTAATCTTAAAGGAACTCAAAGATAAACTTGCAAACCCTCTTTGTGCTCCACTATATGACCTCACTTACCAGATATTGCCAATTGGGACAAAATCCCTGCCTACGTTTTATTGTAATTCTTATACTATTAATGCAAAATGTAGTTGTGCTTAGGCATGACAACGAGGCGGGACGAGAGCAGGTTTTACGTTCTCCGCCCTGTCACCTGTTGCAGTAAAATCTAGGTATCCATCTTCATTTCTGGCAAGATTCGGATTTCCCTCCCCATCTCTACCCTCGCTCTTACCTTTTTTTTAAAATAAATATAAACAAATTTAAAAAAAATAAAATAAAAATAAAATAATATAAATTTTTATATATAAATATTTTTAATTTTAGTTTATATATATATAAATAATTTTTTAATTATATTATTAAACGGGATGAAGGTGAGGGTGAGGGTGAAGGTGTGGGTGAGGGTGAGGGTGTGGGTGGGGGCAAGTACGCCTGCCCTCGCCCCCGATTTTATCAATCGGAAAAAATTTAAACCCGAATCCAAACCTGATAAAAATAATTTTTTTTGTTCAAATCGAGACGAGTTCGAACAGGTACCACAGGATGAATTAGATTTCCATGCCTAATTGTGCTCATATTACATCAACCAAGTGTCGCTTTTACTTTGGTGAAATTAATGCACCACGAAGTCCTGGAGGATTTGTTAAAGAACCAGCAATGTACATGGTGATAGATGACTTGGTTATGACTCTAATGTCTTGCATTTCTTCCATTTCTTATCTAAATAGACTAAAAGTACCACTCTCTAACTTGGAGGAAAAGGTCATCGCAATTGGTGTGAAGGAGGTAGTAAACACTGTATGAGAGGCTTCTTTCATGGCATGTTGTTATTTGTATGGTATGATATTACCTAGCACCTTCACACTCTTTCTTTGCATGGTGCAGGGTCTTGCAATGCTGAAAGCTTCTTTGCCCTCGGCATTTGCTTTGACAGATGGTCTGAAACACTATTAAGGAGGAGAATTGATCCATCAATTATATCTTGTCCATAGTTACAGAATCTTGGGTGCTATAAGTATATAACACCGCCCTAACTTTTCCAATGTTACATTAACATACGTAGTTAACGTGCAAATCATTTGAAATATTTTAAAGTACTGAATGATAAATCAACTAAATTTTCTAAGAGAGTAAGAAAACATATGAGTAAAATATATAAGGTGGAAGTAATTGAGCTAATGAATCATAGAGCATATTGAATCCAAGTAGTTGAATATTTGAGTTTGTTGATCTTTCTAGTTTTAAAAATGTGAGAGAAGAGAAGGCGAGTGAGTGAGGCGCATGTGAGCACAGGTGAGGTGACACTTGAGCAGAAGGCAGGGAAGGAAACGTTTTGTCATCTCCAGCTTCAGTCCTCTCAGCTCTTCCCGGGCAGCAAAGTTGCAGGCTTTTATTTCAATTTTTGGCGTTCGGCATTATGTACCACCACCACCTCTCCGCTCTTATTTTTTTTCTTTTAAATA